CTCTCTCTCTCTCTTAATCTCTCTTTCTCTTAATCTCTCTTTCTCTTAATCTCTCTCTCTCTTAATCTCTCTCTCTTAATCTCTCTCTCGTAATCTCTCTCTCTCTCTCCCTCTCCTCCCCCCCTCCCTCTCCCTCTCTCCCCCATCATTATCATTATTGGTATTATTGTTAAGGATGAGGTTGAATCTCTCTCCTTGACTGTACATTGCTCTTACTGCCACTTAGTCCAACTTGTTTACATTTTCTTCTGATCATTACCATCAATTCTCATTGAAATGGGGGTTTGTCAAGTCATGTATCATAATCATTGTTATTATCATCAAGATTCACATTACTCCTTCCCAGTCTTAAATATTATTGTCATTGTCTGTGTGGGTACTTTCATCATCACCTCTCTTTCTCAGGCCAGTTGTGTTGTCTGCTCTTAGGAATGGAACAAAGCAGTTTGATTTATCCTTTATGCATATCTACCTCAAGTTACAAGCACCATCATCATGATCATGATCATTATAACCATCTTCATAATTACTGTTAGTTTTATCATCACCATCACTATTACCATTGCCATCACCATATTACAATGATTCCTCCTTCCCTGCATCCTCAGCTGTGTTGCCTGCCTTCGGGCACAGAGCAGACGATGTGCCTGTCTCTAGCAAGGCTAGCAGATGCCCTGCCTTCCTTGCGGACACTCGTTGTGCCTGCCCTCGACACCTTCCTCCTGACACCGACTCTGAGGTTCTTCCAGCACACCAGCATTGACATTCAGCATAAGTGTGCCACTGACCAGGTCTTCTCACACTGGGAGCCAGAGCATTAGCGAGTCATGCGGAAGAGAACTGTTGATTTTTTTTTTGTTTTTCTTGCTTCTCTTTCCTTCTTATCTTTTAATTATGTGTTTGAGTAATTATTCAATAGATGGTTACATGTTTTTGGAATTTTTTGAACTAGTCACCCATTTCTTTTATTTCTACTTTCAAATATTTGTGAAAATTTAAACGTATTATTATTATTTTATTTTATGTTCAGAACCTCATTTTAGGCAATGAGATTATATACATATCCATTTTCTATCCTTTTTTATTTTATAATTTTTCATTCTTATAAATATGTGTATAGATTTATTTCAAGGAATGAGTGAATGCATTGTAGCTTTACTTAAAATTAAAAAGTTCATTTTGTACACCCATTTGTTCTTCCATCATTATATATTTTTTAATGAACACCTGTGATTTTTTTTTTTAAAGTAAAGTATTCAATGGTTATTCTGCTTTGTTATCTATTGTTATTGTAATGTACATATAAAACATGCAAACACACAATCATGCACACACACACATACTATCCCCCCCCCCCACACACACACATACACACACAAACATATGTGTATTTCTTCTCACTTGCTCTCCATTTTCTTTTAGAAAGTAAGAGTATAGAGAAATTGCTAACTTTTCATCCAAACTTGTTATAATACCAAACTTTATTCCGTGAAATAAAAGTCTGTTGCAGTATGTTTTCTTTTTATCCCATGATATGGTATGAATGAATATGTTTTTTGATGAACTTTTCCCTTCAGATTTATTTATGTAAACAATGAACTAATTACATAATGGCAGTATTAGATAATTAATCTATAATTGACATAATTAATATTTATATGGTTAAAAATAATGGCATTTACATTTTTTGTACCCTTTTTTAGTTATGATAAATGGATGCATAATCCAAAAAAAACTTTATAAAAATATTGGCTGAAGTAGAAGATGCTGGAACCCAGAAAATTAAAATTTTCAAATATTTTCATTGGTGGAAACAGTTTGAGATTGGTTGCTTTGCAGATTAGCTTTCCAAATATAGTTTTGGGTAGTCTGGGCTATTTGGTCACAATTTGAAGAAAAAAAATCTTAAAACATATCTTTCATCTTAAAGATTAAAAAATAGACCACAGTTGACAAAAATGACCAGGCATCATGAGCAAGTGATTCTCTAACAAAACAAGATTAAATATAGTCCAGAAAACTTAAGTGTTGGAAAGCTTAGCTGCAGGGAAATATCAATGAAGTTTAAAATGGTTGATGGTTGAAAAAAAATCAGTGTGCTAGACATCTTAGTCTTATAGCACTATGGTAGAGTCTTGTGGTGAAAAGGGTAAAATTGAGTTAACAATTAGGATAAAATGTGTTAGATGTCAAAGGTTATAGAGCATTATAGAATAGTATGTTAGTGTAAAAGCTAAAGAAGGGGAGAAAATGAAGTAAAGCAGAGATTGGTAAAATAGGAATGGGTTAAGAGTGTAGGTTGTGATTGAATGAAATAGAGAGTATCTGTGGCTGAGGAAGGAATAGGAACATTGTTTTAGGAATTCTGGCAAGAGTCTTTAAGAAACAATCAATGGGTAATACGACTGTTGAATTTTGGGGATGAGAAAAGGGGACTGGGGGAGGTAGCAAAGTATTAGGAAGAATGTCAAGCTGGCGAGGGATTCAAAGAAGGACACTGGTGCAACAGAAGGGATTCATGTGATAATCTAGTTGGGAGTGGTAAGGATAATGGGGAACAAAGAGGATATGGTACACATGGAGAAGGAGAGGATGGGGTGTGTTGGGAGAGAGTGGGGAGGAGGGTAGAGTTAACTTATGGTGGAAGAGGATGGATACTGGCAAATACTTTAAATGTAGAGGGAATAGGAATAGAGGGGGATGAGGGAGTGGAGCATTCTCTTGGGTCCTGTTTAGGAAGTTTAGGAGTATGTTGGGTTGGGAGTATGGTAGTGAAAGAGGAAGGACAAGGGCAGGAAGAAGATGGGGTGGTGTGAAGTGAAGTTGTACTGTGGGGGGGTGGGGGGGGGGGAGGACAATAAGGATGAAAAGTAGTAATAAGGGGGGGAAGGGGTAGACAATGAAGAAGACTATGCAGTAGGACATGGAATGGAGAATGTTGGTAGAGAGGAAAGGGTGCATTCTGAAGGTTGAGTTATGACCTGGGTGGGTGGTTTGGAATGGATAGAGTTGTCAGAAACATTGAGGTGGGAGTATTAGTATCAGTGGTTGGAGCCGTGGTCAAAGGAGAGACAGGGTTCAGGAAACCAATATAATTGAATATTATTAGGCTATTTGATGAAGGTGCATGCCTTAATGCCCCTAATAAGGGTAAAGAATCTTCATTATTGGCCATGGTGAGACTGAAATAACCATGCAAAATTAGTTGAGGTGAGGGCAGAGGCCTAATGTAGGGGCATAATCATGGAAGAAACAGCTCATTTAACATTTGACAATATGTAAAAAGGTGGCATCCTTACTGATGTGGAGTTATCTTCAATCACTGTAAAATTGCAGTATTGTTGTCAGCATCTCATTCGGATAATTTAAAGACAGACCTTATGTATACTGGACGCTTTGAGTCTTGTCTTTAACAATGCCCAAGATATAAATAAAAACTGGGAGCTAAGGACATTTTTGCAAGGAATCATACATAAAATCTTAGAATCAAAGACTTTATTGTCATAGACAAGTTTCAGTCTATGACCATTTGTGAAAACCACCCCAGATCTACAGCAACATGACAAAAGTCAATAAATGGGTTTGTATTGGAAATAACCTGGCTAAAAACATCATGTGAACATATCTATTATTATCTAATAATATTATTATCTAATTTCTTGTTGAACAATTATGACTTGAAGTTGCTTAAATAAATATAATTTCCTTCTATTGCACATCCCAGGCTCATAAATACACTTTTAAGAATATATTCTTTATTATCAACAATGTATGAAACTCCAATCCTAAAATATATCTTCCAGTATAACCAAAATTAATTTGTGAAATTCTGAATCGGTGTTTTGTTTCCCTAGAATTACACAAAAAGGAGTTTGAAATACAGGATTTTTTTTTATATACATTAAAACAAAGAAAAAAAAAAAAAAAAAAAAAAAAAAAAAGTAAAATGTCATATGAATCATATATGTATATGGTGTTTCCCAAAGCTGTTTATCACAAAATCCCAATACTTGAGAAAGCAGTTTCAGTGAAGGCTCAAGAGCCCACCTATTTTTGCCTATATTTCTCAAACCACAGAGCAGTATTGATGACAGAGTCAGCCTCTACGTTTGTCTTGCGCAGTGAGTGACAGTCCTCATACAAAAGCAATCTGAAATAAAGGAATATTTTCCTGTTGCACATTTCTTTAAATTTATCAAAAGGGTTTGTACCTTATATTCATTAAAAGGGTTTATATCTTATGCAAGAAGAGAAGGAATTACACCATCATCTACATCTGTTGGGCATATATGTGGGTTTACTTAAATCTGAAGTCAAATTACTGAAAGTAAGAAATTACTAGCATTTGATATACCTGCGAGTTAATAAAACTACAAACAAGTAATAATAAAAGGAGGTATTATTAATAATAATTACAACTCTTTTAATTTAAAAAGTCCCTAAAATGTCTTTGGCAACAACTTACATCTAAACGAAACTAAACAGAAATGCAGAGGAGATACTTACTTAGTATCAACTCCCCTAGCCAACAGCATCTTATGGAAGTGGAAGCTCTGTGAGGGGGGAACGCGTGCATCATTCTTGCCTACCAGGAACAGCGTTGGGGTCTTAATATTGTCAATATTGCACAGTGGTGAGACCTCTAGCATTTTTGCCAGCATAGAGGCATCTGCAACCTTCTTTGGCTCAAAGGGGAAGCCAGATTCCACAAATGACCTGTGAGAGGAAAGGATCAAAGTTGAAATATTAGGTATAGGGGTGATTCAATAATAATTGTTGAAAGACAGAATAGAGAGAGAGACAGAAAGATAGAAAGAGAGAATAAAGAGAGAGAAAAGGAGAGAACAGAGAGAGAGACAGAAAGAGAGAAAGAGAAATAGAGAGACAGATAGAATAGAGAGAGAGAGATAGAAAGAGAGAAAGAGAGAATACAG